TACTTCTTACACCCTTGGAATTTTACTGTTCTTTAATTCACTGTAAGAAATATAAAAACTTCAATTTGTTATATATATATATATATATATATATACATGTTTTAAAGACACATACACAATATCATCTATCTTTTTTAGACATCGACTTCTCTGGACTATATGTAAGCAAAGACCACAAGTCAAGTAATTATTCTGGTACAAATTCAAAGTGATTTACATCGAGCTGAATTAACAACTTTCTTGAACTTGAATTTGCTTTGGTATGAAAACTAATCTTTCCTAGCCATTTAAAACCGAAATTCTATCAGAGTGAAAGCTGCTAAAAATGGAAAACATTTTTGTGCATGAAATTGAATAAGTCATGATGCAGTTATGGGTTATGTGACTAGTCTTGAATTATCCATGATTTATGTGGCCAATTGATTACTAATTGAAAATACTATGCTTGTATTAAATATATCTACCTACTTTAGAATTCAGAAATGCCTGTCTAAAAAATCCCTACATTTTTATTACTCAATTTAATTGTTTGCCCCTGAGTAAATTTCACTGCCACCTAGCTAAAGAACAGACAGAGTAAGATACCATGGATAAGCATGGTGAAACTCTTAGTGTTGGTTAAAATAAATTCTAAATTACAAGTGTCAAGAAAGCTAAAGTAGGTGTGCTGAAACTCTGGTCCCTGCAAATGGCAACAAAACATTTTTCTGCTGTAACAGATCTCAGCAGCCCTCAAAGATGATTAGTCAACCCTACTAAACCTAAATTCTTCTACATTAAATATTTTATATTATACATTTTTACATACTAAAATCTGAATACATGGAAAATATCACTTTTTTGTCTGCAAAATTTCATCTCTCCCTTCCTTAGCTGTCTGCTGCTTTTGTTTGAAGTATTTATACTTGGAGAATAAATTTTTTAACCCAGATGAATTCCTTTTATGTTCTGTCTTCTCTTTCTGCAGCTTGACTCAACTGTAGAAAGTGGCAAGCGAGATATTTGGATAGGTAAGAGAGGCACAACTGCTTCTTAACCGTACTTTTTCCAGACAAGAGCAGTGTTCAGTGCATAGCTACACAACCTGAGGTCAGGTAATGCCAAAATTTGTCAAGTCACTCAAGAGCAACGTAATGGGTAGAACAGAAAACAGATCCCTCAAGATCTGCAAATCACTGCATGTAACTAACTGTACCAGATCCTATTGCAGCAACAAAATTTTACAGACCACTCATCTCATTTTCGTACTATATTACCTTTGTTCTTTACCATATTCATGAACTAGAGAAAAAAATAATCCAAAACGAGTTAGAAATACAGAGCACACCATGCATAATGCTGGAATTATACAATTACATCTTTCATGGGCCTTTCAGGTCCTCATGCTTCCAGTGCAGCTCTGTTAGGCTTATATAAATATATCCCTCCTGTCCTCTGGAAACCCAATCCATTTCAATCTGTAATGTAAATAGTTTCTTTTTAACACACAGTGTGTGCTGATTTCACCTTAATTGTATATTTCCCATTGCAAGAACTCAAACTGTGGGATACTGGGAAAGAATTTAACCAGCAGCCTATAAAGAATAGGGGCTGAAGCTTGGATTCCATTAACACCTCGTTAGCCAGGGTCTGTACCCTATGTAAAATGAGCTAATGATTTTTAAATGTAGTTGTCAACCTATAACTTAATCATGTGGAAATCTATTTCTCTGTAATATTGAGCAAGATATAATACATTTTTATCTCTACAAATCAACATGAAGCTAGTGGAGTACACAGATCTTAGCTGGTCATCATCAAACACTGACCTTTAGTGTAATCATACCACTAATACCAGAAGTGGTACTAATTGCAGTGTAAAATTTCTAATAGACACAAGCTGATGGTTTGAGGAAAACACCTCCAAGCACTGGACATAAACATAGTTCAACTTACTAAAAATGAAGTTAGAACCATAAAATGACTGCAAGGTGGTTATAGGATTAATTTCTAATCTCATATAAAGGAATGGCAAAATCCACGTTTGAGTTTACTGTGAATAAAGACCATCTTTTACCTCACCTAAAATCACCGTTATTGTTTTGCATTGACTTGACAGGTTTAACAGTAGTTCAAGAATGCAGGACTTCCATTAACTCCCACTGAAGCAGAGTAAATGGCCATAGAGTCAAACGGGTTGCACAATAATTGGCAAGGGGATTGTGGTATTCCTATCCATCAGGCGACCCCTCTGCACCAGGGTTAGGACCCGATCTTGTTGCTGTGGGTTGGGAGACACGTGTGCGCTGCAGGTGAAGGTCTGGTTTGCAGTGAGAGCAAAAGGTTCTCATTCACTGTCAGATCACTACCTCACTTTCACTGAGCATCACTTTTAAAGAAAAAAAAAAAAAAAGAGAATTTGTGAATTTATAAAAATCAAAAGAGTCTCTAATTTGTGGAAGCCTTCTTCTGGCTCTTTAAAGAAACAAGACTTTAAAATAGACTAGTTAAATATTCTTTCATAACAAAAAAATCTCATGTCCATAACCTCATCACACTCGTTGCAGAAGCCTTTAACTTTCCAATCAGCACTAGCAGATCTTGCAAAGGTCTGAATCCCAATTAGACACCAGCATCTGCAGTTCCAAGGGGAGGCAGTGAACAGACTCGCTCACTTTCATGTTTCAGGGTCTTTGCAGTGTAATTTTTAACTGAGTTTACAGCTACTTTACACATGCGGGCTTCATCCTTTGTGCAACTTTGTGCACAGAGGTTTGCACAACCACCTCTTTTTAACTACCGTGCACCTCCCTGGTACCCACAGCAGCCTTTCCACTGAGTAAAAGCAATTAAGATGAGGGACCCTCCTGCTGTGTCTGTTTGATTAGTGAATGCAGCAGCAACATTTGCTTATTGTCTTCATGCTTGGTTGCTACATTCTTTTGGCTGGGAGGATTTCAGGAGCTGTTCCCAGGGTGGCAGGCAGGTATGCCATTTCCAAACTTTGGCTGGGGATACGTGGTCAGGCACTCACCGACTGCAACACTGCTTGTAAAATCAGTCACATTTTGTAAGTGTGAAAAATGAGATGGGGTATTGTACAAGGTGAAATATGTGTTTTCATGGGAGGGAATTTATGAGGACAAATCTTCCTGTGCCATTGGATCTGAGTGAACTGCCATTAGGCAGGGCCCTCATTTGGCCCTCTGTGAGAAATGGATGGTTTAAGATAGCTTTGAAAATATCAGAGTTATGATGAGTTATGGCCAAATTACTGGCTGACTGCTGAAAAGAGAAGTAGTATGCAGTGAAATGTATACTGATTCCAACGATCAGAAAAGCAATTAGTACTACACGTGAGCAGAGAAGCAGTTAATTGTTGCAGCACCATAGTGGGGAGCTTGCCAAAACTGGCAGTTAAGCCAAAGTCCTGAACCAACACAACACTAGGTCTATTTGTCTCATTTACTGTGCTTTTCTCATCTCTCTTTCCCATCAGAGGCAAACAAATATCAATAATAGTTATAGCCCTTGTAATTACATCTAGAAATAAACCAATTTTCAAATGCAGATTTTCAACAGTAAAAGATGTGAAAGGATTATATAATCAGCATTCCTACTGTACTCTCAAACCACAGGTTAAAACATGAGTGGCTTATATATTAGGAAAGGTCATTATTTATTTCATTTAGAGCAATTAATTTTTTACTTACAAGAAAGCTTTTCATGACAAATATTTATTATTTTAAAATGTGTTTCACTGCCCTATAAAAGCAAACCCCATTTCTTATAGCTTCCTAGTAAGACATTCAGACCAATTATCCTATTCAGCTTCTCCCTTCCTTATAATTGGTAATTTAGCTTGCTATATAAAACACAATTAAACCTTGTTTAGAGTAAACCTGTCAACACATGGAACTCTGGCTGATGTTAATTCCTAAATCTTATCCATACTTAAAGTAAGTGTTCTAATGTGCTTCACACTGATGCAGCTTAGTTATCAACTGCATAACTACCAGAATGTTCTTGAGTAAATTAGAATTTGCTCATTCCCAACTATGTCAGCAAAAAGACATTTTCTTTTCATCTATGCATAAAAGGTAATATCAAAACATCATTGATTGGCCAATCATTAGTTTATCTTGTATATTTGCATGTTATGCTCCTACTGCAATAGTTATCTGTCATACATATCCAAGTATACAACCTACAAATGTATATACTGCTGCAGAGAACTGAAATGCCATGGTTGTGCACAGGTATTTTTACATATATACAGGATTAAACCCAAATCATAGGGAACAGTTTAAATCACATGCATTCCAGAACTGAATAAGGACACTCTGAATGGGCTAAGGAAGAATGGTTCATGCTTCAGGTAACTGAAACTTAAATAATTTAAAACAAACAAAAAAGTTGTAAGTATTCTACATACATATGTCAGGAAAAATAACACTTTTTTCTTTGGGTAACTCAGTCAAACTGCGAACAGACTTACATTGGCAGTTAGTCATTTTAATTATAGTGTGATGACACTTGCTAGTTTAGAAAATGAATCATATGGCTCACAGGAATTCAGTCTTTTTGCCTTAGCTATATTTGTAGACAGATAGAATTCTAAAAGTGAAACAGACACCTAATTGTTTAAGGGCTACATGATGCACAAGAGTACATTTATTCAGCAATAATTTCAGGTTATCTTCTCCATTTCTTTCCCTCTTTTTAAGAGACCTGGCAACCTGCTTACAGCATGGAGTGAGAATGACATGCAAATCTAACACACTTTCAGGTAGAGTATATCAGTAGTATAAAATCATCACTGTAAGTATCTTAAGTCTTCCAGAATTCGGTAAACTTAGTCAAGGATGCAGTCTAGTAACAGGAAACATTTCACAAGATTTCTTAACAGGAACATTTTACTCTGTCAGAGGACCATCATTTAACCCCGATGCAGTACATTCTGTGAAGTCAATGAATCTGCATTAGCATAAAGTCTTTAAAAACCTGACACACTGACCTACCTTTATGTGACAGACGTAACCTTGGCTGCCTCGTATCCGCTGCGTGACATCCAGCCGGTAACTCTAGTAACAAGCCATACAGTGTCAGGATTAAAAGGTCCTGGGCAGATGCCATCCTGCCCAAGATAAATTTCTTCCTCTCTTCACTTAAATGCTGATGTTTGTTTGTTGTTTTGGTGAGGTGTTTTTAAGGCTCCAACTTCCACTTCTACTTTCCCAGTGCAGTTAGATGTCTCTCTTTGGTCAGTTTGTGGGGTATCTCTGTGTGATATTCAGCGTTCATCAGAGCAGCACACAGCCTCAGCTAGCCATTTGTCAAGCTGTGCAAATGTCATGTAAAAATATTCCCTCCCTAGGACAATTGTTTATAAAGTGCGAGGACATTCCAAGGCGTTACTCTGCAGTGTTGTGTCTTGAGCTGTCTCTAGTAACTCTGCCACTGGATTCAGGAAGAAGCTGTATTTTCAGTCCCTCCTGCAAGGCAATTCATTCACAGAAGGAGGGAGGAAAAAAAAAAAAAAAAAAAGGAAAAAAGGAGAAAGCACCCTCCTCCTTGGTGCTCTTCAGAACTCAGCCCCTTGCTCTGACTTGCCAAACAGCTAGTTTTAATTCACCTTTCACCTTTGCTAATTAAAAACAAGAAGTGCCATTCCCTCCTGGAGTTGCAGGATCCACCCAGCGGGAAGCCAGGCTGTCAGGCTGCTGTATTCACTGAGAAAGTTCAGGGAGGGTTGAGGCAATGTACAGTACTAGCTGCTTCTAGGAAGCATTTTAATCCACATGCCGTGCACTGATTCCTCAATTGCTTTGTGGTTTCACGTTGTAAAGCGTCGGGAGAAGGGTCAGAATTCCTCCCGTCCCTCCCTTTCGAAAAGTCATTTCAGCTTTTGTTCCCAGCTCAGTTTTAGAGGAGGATCAACCCTTGCATTAACCATTTAAGTACATTATCACTTAGAGTCATTAAACAGCATGCTACTAAGTGGATCAGAATAAAGGATTCCAGTTGCATATCCTTTCCTACTTTAAGGTAAAAGGTTCTGCTTTTACAACTTTCCCCCTGCCCCCCCCCCTTCCCCCAAATGTGCTTTTAGACAGTAGCTTCTCCCCTTTACATTTTAAATATCTGTAAGTCTGGAACCTTAAATCATCTATGCATGTCAGTAAAATTACTTATCTGACTAGGTGCCAGTAGGATTGGTCAATATTAAAAAAAAACACCCAAAACACAAACAACCAAAAGCCTGATCAAAGTGTTGTGATGATAAACAGCATCAGATTTACAAGTGCCAAGCAGCCACCTCGGTATTTGCAACTAACAAATACCAAAAAACTTCATCTCTTTTTCACATCATGTGTAACTTAAAAATATACCCATCACAAAAACTAGATTTTATAAATGAAAACTACAGATGTCCGGAATACATTAATTAAAGACTAAAGTTGTCTGTAATTAAGATCTCATTCATATAACCATTTAGGATGATGCAAGGTGCATTTCAGACACTAACAATTGCACTTTTTTTAATGGGAGCATTAAAACCATATTAAATTTTCATACTTTGCATTCTTTTATACAGAAAAAGAATCACAAAGACAGGAAAATGAAAACTAATATATGCATTGACAATAATGCACTCAAACAAATTTGGTAGTCAACCAAAGATAATGATATTTGGAGAGAAAGATTTAAGAAGAGATTACTGTATGCCAGCAAACTGAAAAGAACCCAGAACAATACTACAGTGAAATGGTATTAAATGTAATAGAAGGATGCATGGATGGGAGCAGACATATCTGTTCAAGAAGAATAAAATATATGAACTACTAGGACAGAGAAAAAAGACAGCTTCAGTGAAAGGACAGAAGTAAATCATCAGAGTGCCCAAGGACTCCTGGAGGCTGCTGAATAATCAGGAGCAGGGAGGAGGTCATGTCTACCTGTTACTTCTCCAAAAGCAGGTCATGTTCACATACCTGGGCTTGCTTTGAATCAGCTGGAAACTGTGCCAGCAACAGCTAAACCACAGGAGCACAAGCTAAATCACACAGTTATTTGCTCCATTTTTTGCACACAACTGCAGGTTGCAGTGGATTTTATTCTGATGTGCCAGCTGTCTGGCAGTAGCTCAGCATGAGTATTTGAGATATTTTCAGCGGAGAAGACAATGCAGGCTCCGCCTCCAAGCACGGACCTCAGCATGGAAGAGTTTATCATCTACCCAGTGGGATTGTTATTACTGGCACCTTTCTGTAATACTGAGGCATACAAGTGTTCTGCATTTGACCATTAAGGTCTGCTCACAGACTCATGATCTGGTGCCTGTGTAAGCTTAGTGAAGATTCTCCTTCGGTTGCGATTCTGTGATTCCTCCATTTTTCCTCACCACTCCACCCCCCCCCCAAAAAAAAAAAAAAAACCCACACCAAACCAACAAAACAAACAAACAAAAAACCCCCCCCCACAAAAAAAGAAAAAAAAACGCCACAATTTATAGATTTCTCAAATACTCATTCTCTCTCATCATAAGTCTACAAAATGTAAACATTTCTGAATATGAGATACTCCAAATGGAATTTTTTTTTAAGGATCTTGTTATGGAAAATTTAATACTCCTTCTAATTTATGGTATGCATTTTCAAACAGGACATAAAAATCAAAATGTGGGCTTACGCTATTAAAGCTAAAATCATATTCAGTGAGTAAAGCAAACATAAGTGCAAAGTCCCAAATCTCACCTGTCTCTAAAAGCTGTTGTAGGGTGGTATTTATTAATTTTCTCAGGCTTCAACTGGGATCTTAGATGCTCAAGAGATTGAATATGTATACTTTGGGTATCCTGAGATGGTATCAAAAAGTTAGTGTGGCAAGTTCAAAACAATTTCCCCAGCTTTAAAGTTCTGTTTTCATTTTCCAGCTGGTTAAAGTGAACTAGAAGAGGGAAGGCACAAGGGATCTGCTTGAAACTATGGGCCTTATTCTGTATTTAGATAAGATGTAGGGTGCAGCAGGTCTATTCAAACAAGACAGATATATACAAATAAGGGCAATTCCCCCACCAACCTGAGCTTACATGCACTCACATGCATTTCTAACCCCACACATCCCAGCCATTACACAACTCCTTGGCTCCCTACAAACACATGACCCAGGGCTGGAGCTCCAGGAGAGTCAGAAATACCCGAACAAGCTGATTTTCATATTTGTGCCCAAGGACAAAGCTTTTTTGTCTGAAATCTGATTCTCAAGCAGGGTGGGCTGTGCGGGTGCCTCAGGCTCCTTCCCTGCCTGCCGAGGGAAAGGCCGGGGCAAAGGCACAGAAGAAGAAGCTGGAGCTGCTGCTTGATGTTCTGGCTTTGGCTGTCAGCAAGAGATGCCGGCATGGGAAAACTGGGAATGGCTGCTGGGCATGGTGAAAAATGCCTGCATTGGAAAGAAACCTAACAGAATGGAGGAGAAAGGGAAAGTTCATATATCAGTATATGCCGGAGTTCGATTTTTTTCCCCTAAGTTAATGTTCTCACAGGCTGAATCTTCTCAGTACAGTCCTCAAATTGCTGTGTAAGGATTGCAAGTCTTACACCCTTACACAACAAGTTTTGCAGCAAAGCAAGTAGTGGAAAGGTACATACAATTTCAACTCAAGAGAAATGTGTGGCCTCAGGCAAATCAGTCAGTCTCTCTGCCTCAACATCTTTTCAATTGGATAGGTACACGTTCTTACCTCAAGGGGTGTTTAGGAGACTTCTTGTAAGGTTTTAAACAGTAGGTGGAAGGATGGCAACACAGATGTTCAAATATTAGGATTCAGTCTTAGATGAGTACAAACACAGATGCCCCAAGGCTTTGGAGCCCTCGTGTAGTACAGTGTTGGGTCTCTGAAGAGTAAACAAGGTGGATTTACTGCTTATTTTCTGTTAATAAGGCAAATACAACAGATCTCTGTCAAACCCAAGTTTGTTTCAGTAGTAAAATCTCCAGTTAAGTAAATGCTGACAGATGAATAAAAAAACAATGCCTGAAACCCTATAAGTAAAGAGTATTTGAAAATTGAAATGCAAACTCTGTATTTGATTGCTGGGGTAGAATATCTATAATTACTGTCCTAAAGAGAAAGACAATGAGTTTTCTTAAAAGGAAAAAAAAAAAGTTTCTGTGTACATTTGTACTCTTTATGCACAATAAGGAAGTCCATTAAAAAAACTACAAATTAATTGTGAGTTGCTATGTAAAGTCTGTGAACCATAGCTTGATTTGCTACAGCTGCTGCAGATCCAGAGCAATTGTAATGAAATCGTTGAGCCTGTAAATCTAAGAACTCTAACACAAAATACTTCTGACATATTGTGTGAACTGGTTTAACTGATAGAGTGAAATGTAAACTCAGGAGCATGATATAAATAAGTAGATCTGCAGCTACTAGAACCAGTAACAAATTCTAAACATTATAACTATAAAGCAAAATGAAATGTTTAGAAAATTTAAAGCTGCGGTGGTCCAAGAATTGCTATAACCATAATTTAAAACCATTTTTAAAGAGTGCCTCCTTCTTCTGGTGATGATACACTGAGCCACAGCAAGAATTCTCTCTTTATTTCTGTCTCTTTCTGACTATGTTTGCAGATCTAAAGAAGATGAGCAACCACAAAAGGAGCTATGTAGCCTTCACTGAATTTAATGAAACCTGTATCTGCATTAGTACTGTAACATGCAGTAGATACAGTGCACAGGTAATCATATCTTCATTTATTTAATAGAAGAAGCTTTAAAAGATACTTAAATAACAACTTATCTTATAGTGCTTCATCTTTTTTTTTATGCCACTACTTGTCCACTGGGCATTGCAGTTCATATCGACACGTCAACTTTCAAATTCTGTCAAACAGAAATTCTTAGAACAGATAAAGGAGATGAAGGAAAGATCTGTATATCATGTAGCTGTTAACTTTCCTTTATCTCTGCTTTTGAGATGGGAATTCATGTCTGCCCCAGTCTCTGTTACAAACTGGTCACCGGCTTTCTTACATCACCAGTACTGGAAGAAATGGTTACACCAAACTGCTTGTCAGGTGGTGCAGCATATTAGGTAAGAGTGCTGACAGGACACAACAAGAAAGTGAAAAAGCTGTTCCAACAGGTGAGTAATCACTCAAAAATGTCTTCTGGAATCTCAACGAAAGTAGCGCAACCACCACTTGGATGACCCCACTGACCTTCAGGACGATACGCTAACTGATGGCAGAAGAATGTTGCCAGATCTTGTTTGTTACAAGGAAATAACAGGAAATAATAATAAAACTTGGTCCTCTATGGAGTTTTCAGATTAGAAATATTTTAGGTCTTTGCTTTTGTTATCGGGAATTGGATCATAACCCTGCGTGAAACTAGATGTGTTTATATGTAATGTCTCCAGGACAAGGAAGTGTTATTTCTCTTGTTTTATACACAGTGAGTTCTCTTTGATCCAAGATCAAATTTAAACAATATTAATTAAGCAAAAGAGTTTGACTGAACATGA